AGGGGAAACGCCTTGGCTGTGGAGGGCGGGGCGTAAGCAAGGGTGAGGTTTGGTGGTGGGCGGGGCCTATGCTCCCGAGCCACAGGGCTGGAAAAGGCCCTGGGGGCTGTTGGGGGTGGGGGTTAGGCTCAAGGAACAGAAGGGGCCCAGGTGTGCCCCCCACCCCTGGTCTCAGGGCGTGGGAGGACCTCACCTGGGAGACCACTAGGTTTCCTGGGCTGGAGTGGGCAGGGCAAATGCCCTCCACTCCTCTCCCACTCCTCCGGGAGGGCCCCTCTCCCTGCCTCTGCTGATCTCTCTTGCCTGCCTCCTGTGCCCCAAAGGACCCATGCGGCCTGGGTGGGGCCTTGGAGGGCAGGGGACCAGCCTGGGAGCTCAGCAGGCTCCCTGTGCCTAGGTGTGTGGCGCAAACACCCTCTGTTCCTCTCCCACTCCTCCTGAGGGCCCCTCCCGCCTGCCTCTCCTGATTTCCCCAGCCTCAGGGACACCAATCCTATCTGGTCTCTCCTTCTCCTCCCCATTCAGTCCCCCATTTCCTACCAGTTCACTTGGGGGTTCCTCCCACCTCCTTGGGTGTCAGAGTTCTCCACCAGCGGCCGGCAGGCACCCTAGTTGTGGAGAGATGCTAACTTGGCGTATCCCCACACTGCCATCTTCTAAACATAGTGTTTGACATTACACATTTAGTGTTTGAAAGAGGAAATACTAAGCGTGGTGGTGTGAGAAATAAAACATTAGCGTATGTGTCCTTCAACCCATCCCATCTACATTGTCAGTACTATTGCATACTTTTATCTTCCCTCATCTGGATGGCTTCTGTTTCCTCCAGGTTTATATTCATAATCCTGATCTTGCTTCTTTTCAGCCAACATTGCTGGTGGATAAATAGTTATAAAATTAAATTTGATCATGTTACTCCCCTTATTAAAGCCATTAGATAGGAGCTCTCATACTTTACTGTATAAAGCCATCTAGGGTTTCATTAGGCAGATTCTGATCCATTCCAAGAGACATTGATTCAGGTCTGATATCAGGCCCAAGAACCCGTACTTTAACAAGCATCCCTGGTGTTCTGAGAGAAGCCCTGTTTTAATGGCTCCTAAGCCTGCAAGAGAAAGTTCAAAAGCCTTAGTGTGGACATCTGTGCTCTCAGTGAACCATGCCTTGCATTCTTTGTCTTGGTCATCAACATCAACACCCATCCTGTGATGTTTCCTGCCTTTATCCTTTTTCACATCCTGCTATCTTTCTGCCCTTTCATACCTCAAGTTATCCCTTTGGTGAGGTTCTCCCTGATCACCCAAGGTGGAGCTGGTACTTTCTCTTTCTCTGTTGTGTTTCTTTTTGTTTTTTGGCTGCATCAAGTCTTCGTTGCCGTGCACAGGCTTTCTCTTGTTGCTGTGAGCAAGGGCTACTCTTCGTTGTGGTGCGCAGGCTTTTCATTGCGGTGGCTTCTCTTGTTGCAGAGCACAGGCTCTAGGTGTGTGGGCTTCAGTAGTTGTGGCGTGCAGGCTCAGTAGTTGTGGCACATGGGCTTAGTTGCTCCGCGGCGTGCGGGATCTTCCCAGACCAGGGCTCGAGCCTGTGTCCCCTGCATTGGCAGGCAGATTCTTAACCACTGAGCTACCAGGGAAGTCCCTTTTTGTTGTGTTTCTTATTGTACCTTCCAACTGCCCTTTATTTGTAACACCATTCATCCTACATAGTAATTTCATTATTCATTAGTTTTGAGTTGCATGACTAGAAAATCGTCTTATTTATCTTTGTATCCTTAGTGCCTTGCACAAACATGGGTAAATGTGGAATGAATGAGTTAAACAGAGGAATGAAATTCAGAAAGTCTTGATTTTTTTTTTTTACTTCATATTTTGTGTAGTGTAAATTGATCTGTACTGCTTATGCACCTTAGGTTCTTAAGCTATAGTATGGAAATAATATTTATTTTCTACCTTCCTTTAAACACCATTTATTCAATTCAGAGCAGAGGTTTATACAAAGGAAGCAGAATTAGTGGTAATTCTGGAAATAATTTTTGAAAGAGCAGCCACTTGAGATACTTCTTGAAGTTTGAATAGAAGTATGACTTGAGTGGCAGCAGTGAGAATGAGAAAGGAGCATGATCCTGGCATAAGAAATGCAAAGGTACAAATGTCTGCAACTGCATGGTTCTGGAAGGCACAAGTGGTTTAATTTGGTTTCAGTAGAAGATGCAGGGTTGTGGTTAGACATGGAATTGGGGGAGTCGGCAGCAGTCTATTTTGGAGGCTGTTTTGTGCTTTGCAAAGAAGTCTTTGCAAAGATTTTATCCTTGGGTTATAAAATGCTGTTGAAGCCTCTTAAGCTGGAAAGGAACATAGTCACATGGGAGGAGGACTGAGACAGACGATAGACCATTTAAAGGGACTTAGTGTAATTTTACGAGTGAAGAGTTGATTAGCCACTTAAAATAATTTTATGAAGATTTTTATGTTCTTTGTTCATTCTGCCAGGTACTCTGTTACGCATGGGGTTACACAAGATGAGTAAGGTATAGTTCCTGTAGAGTACAGGAAAATGTAAATACATAAAAGAACTAATTATATAAATATAGCCAAGGCTTACAGGTTTGTGATATATAGTACAGAAAATGTTATGGGAACTGGGTTCATTGTGGGCTAACTTTCCCGGGAGAATTAGGGTCTTGATGGAAGAGAAGGGATTGGAGTAGAGCAAAGAAGAATATTTTGGGTAAAGAAATAAATAAAGGGATTAATGGGTGAGGGAGTGTGGTTATGGTGCTAGAGCCTGTTTGTTATAGCTGGAAAATATCTGGTATCAAATTGTAATGGGCCTTGAATGTTGTGCTGAAGGATTTTGTATTTTATCCTAGAGCATTATTTTCTAATTATGAAAATAATACATATTGATTATATACAATTTAAGAAATATATGGAAATATGAAGAAAATGTAAGTCTGATATGACTCCATCACAAAAAGTGGTTGCTATGAACATTTTCATGTATTTCTTTCCAGTGTTTGTCACTGTGCTCAAATGCATACTTGGGCATTAAATAAATGAAATCAGAATTATACTCTGTTGTATAGTGTGTGTGTGTGTGTGTGTGTGTGTGTGTGTGTGTGTGTACGTATGTGCACATATGTAATCTTATCTCACTTAAAATTGGAACATGGGCATTTTGCCATGTGGTTAAATGTGCCCAGGAAGCATGATTTATAGTGATTACAATATTTATCACATGGGTATGCTTATTTATTTCTTTATTGTTGGATTATTTAGGTTGTTTTCAATCTAAAATAATGGACACTGTTTCACTGAACGTCTTTGTATTTCTGACTATTTAGGATAGGGTTCTAGAAATAAATGTACTGGATCAAACAATCTTAAGGGCTCATGCTGTATTTTGCCAAATTGTTCTTCCAAAAGGCTCTATTTAAATTCATGCCTGCAGTGTGTGGGTCTGACTTTCATTGTACTCCTGGCTAAGTATTTTTTGTGTGTTTACTGTTTGCTAATTTTATAAGTGGTATCTTGTGGTTATTGTTATTTCCTCGACAATTCATTTGAGTAGGTTTTCCCTTATATTCCTTGACTATTTGTCTGTTTTACTAGTCACCTATACTTTGATTTAGTTTTAATTTTGTATTTTCTATTTCTCTTAATAACCCATGATAATGGCAGTGTTTGGCAGAAGAGTGACATGATTAGATTTGTTCTTCAGAAAGCAGTCTTGTGGCCTGTGAAGGATGGGAGTAAGGAGAGACTAGGGGCAGTGATGTCTGTTTAGAGAAGAGGAGATAAGGGTCTGAACATAGTGATGGTGATGGTGGGGATAGATTAGAAGAATGATTCTCAACCAATGATTTGGGAGATGCAGCAGGTTTAGTGGGAGGGTGGAGATTAGGACAGATTAACTACAAGGTTCTATGGGACATCCAGATACAAGCAGTGGGAATTGTAGGATTGAAACTCTTTCAGGAGCTGGTCTGGCTGGTGATGGAGATTAGGGAGCCACCTGCATATAGGTGATAGTTCTAATATGGGAGAAAGAATGAGTTTTCAGGGCAGCTGACTGAGAAGGGTGGTCAGAACTAGAAGGCTCATTAAGATGTGTTCTCTGGGAAGCTCTTTTTATACTTTCTCTCTCTTTCTGTCTCTCTTAGCAAAATCAACAATGTCAGAGATTATGGATATGGTCAGAGATACTGCAAAGAGATTAACGAGGAGAGGGACTGAAAAGTTTCCACTGGCTTAGTCTACTACTTTCCTTAAATGTGGCTAAAAGGGGCAGTAGACTGGGAAAGAAATAGAAGAAGGAACATGGTCAAAGGATAACACTTTTAAAGACTCTAAGTAGACTTGAACATGTTCTCTATTGAGGGAAAAGAATTTATGGAGAGGGAGAGATTGGAGGTAAAGTAAAAAAGGAGGAATTTGATGGTGCAGCAACTTAAAAGGATGAGTAGCTGTGATGAATGCATTATTCTTTCGGGTGGAACAAGTAGTATTACATTCCTAGAGATAGAATTTGCATATAAGTTATTGAAACAATTTTTAATCTGTTCTATGAGTAAAAAGACTCCCTGCTTCAATAATTAACTTTCATTTTCTTTTTTTTAAAACGTTAATTGACAGTGTTATAATTGTTTCAGCGTAAAGTTCTTCTAATTGTTTAAGTTCATATCTTTTATATGCTGCTGATTGGCAGAGTTAATGTGTTACTTTTAATGATACAGATACCTAAAAAGACAACTTAATAAGCATTTAAATCCCTTTGATTATTTATTGTTCATTAATGAATGCATGAAATTAAATACTTTGAATTATAGCCATCTTTTAAAAATATTTGTTGCAGGGAAATTTACCTAAATATTCTCATAACTCCCTGATGGTTCAAGCAATAAAGACAAACCTAACAGACCCGGACATACATGTGCTTTTCTTTGATGTGGAAGCGTTGATTATTCAGCTCCTGACTGAAGAAGCCTCTAGGCCGAATACTGCGCTTATTTCCCCAGAGAATCTGCAAAAAGCATCTGGCGGTTCAGACAAAGGGGGCTCTTTTCTAACTGGAAAACGAGCAGCAGTTCTCTTCCAACAAGTGAAAGAAACTATCAAAGAGAACATAAAGGAACATCTCCTTGATGATGAAGAGGAGGATGAGGAGATAATGAGACAGAGGCGGGAAGAAGGTGATCCCGAATATCGGGCCAGCAAATCTAAGCCACTGACCCTGTTAGAGTATAATCTGACTATGGACACAGCAAAATTGTTCATGTCCTGCCTTCATGCCTGGGGTTTGAATGATGTTCTGGATGAAGTCTGTCTTGATCGCCTTGGAATGCTGAAACCCCACTGCACAGTATCGTTCGGCCTCTTATCGAGAGGGGGTCATATGTCACTGATGCTTCCTGGTTATAATCAGGCTGCTTGTAAACTATCACATGGGAAAGCAGAAGTAGGAAGAAAGCTGCTGGCGACGGAGGGAGTAGGAAAGGGAACTTACGGAGTGTCCCGGGCCGTCACCACACAGCATCTCCTGTCTATCATATCTTTGGCAAATACCTTAATGAGTATGACCAATGCAACTTTTATTGGTGATCATATGAAGAAGGGCCCTACCAGGTGTGACCATGATAGTTTGATTTTATTCTTATGTTTCAAAAAAAAAGAAACCTGTTTTATTTTTGTCACTTCTTACTACCTTTTTTTGGGGGGGTGGGGCGCTCTACACACCTTGGCATTTTTGTGTCACCTCAGTGTTTCCCCTTTAAATTTTAAATACAACATGCATGACAAAATATTATCAAATTGTACAGTTTTATCTATACTCAGACATATTTAGTAGCTATTTAAAAAAAACTTAGAATGAGGGAGTAGGTCAGAGTTTAGCTTTAACAAATTATAGACTAGCTCTTCAGTAAATATAATCTTAGATTGTATCTATTTACAGTTTGCACTAACATTTAATTCAAATTGTATATTTGGTTAAAATGTGTGACCCATGGTGATGAATGGTAAGTGTTCAGTGGCTGGCTTCAGCATTTTGTGAGAAGTATAGTCAGAATTTCTCTGGGAAAAGAGGAAACAACTTTTTAAAGTGCAGGAGAGTATTCTTGTAATATTTCTACATAGTTAACCTGAGTTGCTATTTCTCATTTTCCAGAAGTCATGAAGACAACTTTTTAAACTCTGGTTTTATTATACTTTATTGAGAGCCGACCACATTTAGGATTTTTTAAAATCTAACGTACTAAAGTAGCACTTACCTAGTGTCTGGCTCTGTTGTAAGCACTTTACAGATGTTATCTCCTTAATGCCCTTACCCCTATAAGGTAGGTACTTTTATTATCCTTTTGCTACAGATGATAGAGCTGAGACACAGAGAGGTGAAGTAACTTGCCCAGGGTCACACAAGTAGTAAAATGGTAGGGCTGGAATTCAAAAGGGGACAGTCTGCCTGTGGAGTGGAAGATTTCTTAATGCCTTATTACCTTTTTCAGATTGTAGGGCTGAATTTTTTGAAACTCAGTATATTGTTCCATAAGTTCATTTGGACCAATGATGTGGGGTGGGCTGAAATATCAGCATGCTAATACTGAAGAATGAAGGGTTAATTATGATATTTATCTGTCAGTGGTAGTAGATTAAAGTGTTCATAAATATTTCTTAAACTAGTTTAAAGCATAAACTGTAGATGTAAAATTTTTACTTGCTATTTGTTAATCATTTAATTTTCTGTATTAAAATCTGAAACGGAAAATGTTAATAGGTACAAAACAAAAAACCCCTATCTTTTTGGAACAGCAAATTGAAAATGTTCTGTTATGTGTTTCTTTTGCAATTCATTTGGAACTAGAAAGCTTAATATTTTAAATGGCTCTGGAATTATGAAACTATGAATGTGTGTATATACATGTATTTTCTTCTTCTTTTTAAAGGCCACCTAGACCAGGCACCCCAGACCTTTCTAAGGCAAGGGGTTCTCCTCCAACTTCCAGTAATATTGTGCAAGGACAGATTAAACAAGGTAAAATTAAATCTTATTAAGTAATTGACATGACATTTCAGCTGTAGAAACTGAGGAGGCATAGCTAATGTATAATCATAACATTTTGTTTGTCTCAGATTGTTAAATAGAGAAAAGTTGTTATATTCCAGATGTAAATATGGATAATTAAGATGTTAGTTAAAAATAAATCAGATTTATTTAGAAATTGATAAATGAGCGTATTTCACGTAATTTTATTGTACTGTCTTTGGCCTAATTTTTATGCATTAGGGGCACCTTAACTTGACAACACTAGTGCCTTAATGTGTGTATCTTGAGTCTATAAGTTATGTCTATTTTTTAAACTACATTTAGAAATGTTTAAATTCATATTTCCATACTATAGCTATCCTTGTGTCGTTTGCCAGTAGTTCATGCATTGTAATCCACAGTGGAAATAGTTTCTTTTTATTTAGTCATTATATACTTTAACTTTTTGTTCATAGCTTTTGTTTTGTTAGGGGATAGAAGAAAGATTGAGTTTTTCTTCCTTTATTTTCTTTTACACTCATTTTAGGACTTGACAAGAGAGTTCAGGGGGGAGTCACTTCTGCTTAGAGAGCTTTCCTTTAGGCTAAGTTGAAGGTTGTGCTTGTAAATGGTGACATTGTAGGATGTTCTTTTTTCAAAAAATTTGTTTAAGGTGTTAAAGAGTCAGTGAACAGTTCCGCAAAATTTGTTTGGTGAACAATAGGCCTCCAACTTCATGCCTACAGTTTTCCTCTTTCCTAGAACAAGTCCTCTGCTCTCTTAGCTGATTGTTTGTCCTAACTTTAATATCCTTAAATGGTATACTTGGTTTTTAGTTTTAGGTACTGTGTCGTAGCTTCTCATTATGGAAGATAAGTTATCCCACTCTCTATGCCACTCCTATCCTTCATTTCCAGCCCCATGTGGTCACCTCTCTTATTCCCCTGTCTTCTCATCAAGCCTTTATACTCATTTTATAATAGTCTATATGAATATATATAAAAGTTTTAATTAGATAACTTTATACTTGTGTATGTGTGAAATACACACAGAAAAGTGCACAAAACAAATATGCAGCTCAGTGATTTTTACAAGCTGAACACCCATGTAACTATATCCCTGGACAAGAAATAGAACATTGCCAGTACTCCTGAAGCCTCCTACATGTTCCCTCCCAATCAGTATACCTTCCTCTTCCAAAGGTAACTACTATCTTGACTTTTAGGAAATCATTTCCTTGCTTTCCTTTATGGTTGTACCACCTAAGTTTAAATCCCTAAACACTATGGTTTAGTTTTGCCTGTGTTTTGAATTTTATATGCGTTCAGTTAGTCATGGAGCATGCATTCTTTTGTGTTTGGCTACTTTTGTGAGATTTATTAGTGTTGTTGCACGTGACTATAGTTTGTTCATTTTCATTGTTCATTTTATTGCTGTATACTATTCTGATGAATGAATAGACCACAATTTTTTCATCCATTTCTTGGTCAATAGACACTTGGATTACTTCCAGTGTTTCATTTTCATAAATAATTCTGCTATGAACATTCTTGTATTTGAATCTTAGTGTATATTAGAAGCGTTTCTGTTGTGTATGTAACCAAAAGTGGAATTTCTGCATATATTTATCTTCAGCTTTAATTGTGGATAATGTTAACATGTTTTCCTAAGTGAGAGACATATACATCCATCATACTGGCTAAGGGGAAAAAGATGGAAATTGTTGTGTTAGCTGGGATATGGATCAGTGAGACCTCTCATATATAGCTGGTAAGATATCCTAGCCAACACTTAATATTTTCCATGTTTTTCACTTTAGCCATTTTGGTATGGCTAGTATATCTGACATATCAGTATTTTCATTCCTGATTAATATTTTTGTATCCTATTTAAGAAATTACCCTGATATTTCTACTCTGATATGAGGATATTCTTCTTTATTTTCTTTTGGAAGCTTTCTTATTTTACCTTTCTCATTTAGGTTTATAGTCTCCCTAGACCTTAATTTTGTGTATTATGTGAAGCAGGGGTCCTGTTTTGATTTTACTTCCATATACCAAATTGGTACAGCATGATTTATTAAAGAGAGGATTCTTTCCTCACTGCTTTGCAGTGCCATTTTTGTCATAAATATAATGTCCTTATATATGGTAGTCTATTTCTGAGCTGTTTGAGCACTTTGATTTGTTTGTGTATCATTGTGCCTTAATTACTGTAGCTCTGTAATAAGACTTGATATTTAATAGATCAAGTCTTCCCACCCATTCTTCTTAAAGAATGTCTTGACTATTCTTGTCCTTCTGAATTTCAGTATAAATTTTAGAACTGTTTTATTATTATCACAAAGGCCTATTGTGATTTTAACTTCGATTTTATTGAATTTGTAGATCATTTGGGGGAGAATTATTTTCTTAGTGGGGTTCACTCATTTAATCCATCAACTTGATATATCTCTACATTTATTTAGGTCTTATTTAGCTATCATAACTCTGTATAGTTTTCTATATAGAGGTCTTATATTTCTTTTGTTAGATTTATTCCTAGATATTAGATTTTTAAAATACTCTATTTAATATCTAATTGATATTAAATTTCTTCATTTTCTGTGCCCCTGATATAGAAATGCAGTTGACTTTTGTATATTGACCTTATATCAAAGAATCTTGCTAAATTCACCTATTAAAGGTAATACTTTTCTGTAGATTCTTTTGATCATATGGACAATCATATGGAACAACTTTTTTATTTCCAGTATCAAAGGGAGAACTTTTAAGATTTCATAATTGTGATAATTCCTATATGCTTTTACAGATAATTTAAGAAATTAACTCTTCTGTTCCTTTGCTAAGTGTTTATCATCAGTGTATGTTGGATTTTATCATGCTTTTTCTGTATCTATTGAGGTGACTATATAATTTTTTTTTACTCTATTAATGTGATGAATTTACAACCCAATTTTGCATTTCAGAATAAAACCAATCTTGTGATGTATTATTATCTTATATATTGTTGCATTTAATTTAATATTTTTTATTTAGGAAAACGTTTTCTTCTAATATTTATGTAAGGTTTTACTTTATTCAAGTTTCGGCAAATGGATTGGGGAATCTTCCTTTTCCATTTTTAGGTAGAATTTGTGTGAGATTGGCATTAATTATTTCATAAATGTGCAGTGGAATTTGCTGGGGTTAGACCTAGAGTTTTCTTTGTGGGGAGTTGTAAAATTCTGGGTTCAGTTTCTCTCATTGTTATAGAACTTCAAATTTTCTGTTTCTTTTTGTGTCAGTTTCATTAAGTAGTACATATTTAGGGATTTTTCTAGTTCTAAATTTTCAAATGCGTTTGCATTTGAAAAGATAACATCTTATCTTTTTAATTTCTGTAGTATCTGTGGTGATGTCTCCATTTTTATTCCTGATATTAATCATTTGTAGCTTTCTTTTTTCTTAATCAGTCTTACTGGGGCTTTATCAATCTTTTTAATCCGTAGTGCCTTTGTTTATCCTTTCAAATGCATATTTTTTCCTGTTTCACTAAATTCCGCTCTTCTCCCACTTCCTTGGGATTCAATATGCTGTTATTATTAATTTTTTTAATAAGTTTATTTATTTTATTTATTTCTGACTGCATTGGGTCTTTGTTGCTGTGTGTGGGCTTTCTCTAGTTATGGCGAGCGGGGGCTACTCTTCATTGCGGTGCGCGGGCTTCTCATTGTGGTGGCTTCTCTTGTTGCAGAGCACGGGCTCTAGGCACACGGGCTTAAGTAGTTGTGGCTCACGGGCTCTAGAACACAGACTCAGTAGTTGTGGCACACGAGCTTAGTTGCTCTGTGGCATGTGGGATCTTCCCGGACCAGGGTTCAAACTCATGTCGCCTGCCACTGCGCCACCAGGGAAGTCCAGTTATTATTAATTTTTAAAAACTTTTTACGATTGATGGTTACTTACTGATGTTGAATTGAAGTTAGAGCAGACATCCTTGCCTCATTCCCAATCTTAGGGATAAAGCATTCAGTCTTTTACTATTAAGTATGATGTTAGCTATAAGTTTTTCTTAGATGAGCTGGATGTTGAGGAAGTTCCCTCCTATTCCTAGTTTGCTGAGATTTTAAAATTATGAACGGATGTTAGATTTTGTCAGATGATTTTTCTGCATCCATTGAAATTATCAAATGAATTTTCTCCTTTATTTTCTCAGTAAGTCCAAGAACATTGACTTCTGAATTTTAAGAAACCTTGCAATCCTGGGGTAGATCACACTTGGTCATGATGAATTATCCTTTTTATAGATTATTGGGTATAATTTGTTAAAATTTTGTTAAGAGTTTTTATGTGTATGATCATGAGGGATTTGGGTCTAGAGTTTTTCATTTCAATAATGTGTTTGTTCAGTTTTGGTAACAGGATAATGTTGGTCTCACAGAATGACTTAGGATGTTATCCCTTTTCTTGTTTTCTGGAAGGGCATGCGTAGAATTGATACTATTTTTTACTTGTTTGATCTGTTTCACCAGTGAAAATATGTGGGCATAGGGTTTTCTTTATGGGAAGATTTTTTTAACTACAAATTTAAATGCTTTAATAGATACAGAGCTATTTAGGTGTTTTTTTTTTTTTAAATTCATCTTGGGTGAACTTTGGTAATTTGTGTCAAATTTATTGGCAAAAAGTTGTTTAATATTCTCTTATTTTCCTTTCAATATCATATCTGTAGGATTTGAAATGACATCCCCTATCTCATTTCTATTATTCATAACTTATGTTTTTTCTCTTTTTTCCTGATCAGTCTAGCTAGTAACTTAGCAGTTTTGTAGTTCTTAACCAGCTTTGGGTTTCATCAGTTTTTAATGTTGTTATTCTGTTTTCTATTTCATTTATTTCTGCTTTGCTTGTTATTATTTCACTTCTTTTGCTTTAAATTTGCTTGTATTTTTTTTTTTTTTGTGGTACGCGGGCCTCTCACTGTCGTGGCCTCTCCCATTGTGGAGCACAGGCTCTGGACGCGCAGGC